TGAAATATGTATTGCCATAAGACTGGATACTTCCAAATGTCAATAATTGGCATATAGACTCCTAGACATACTGTGTATTCTGTCAGTTCCCACTCCTCCTTTGTGTTTATAGTAGAGAATCCCACCTGGAACCTTCCACCCTCACACTCCTAACAGCTTAGTTGCTATCCAGACTTACTGCAAGCTGTCATCCTGATATTTTGCCACTTGATTCCCACTCCCTACTCCCTCAGGATTGTTTTTCTCCCCATTTGTCCAATAACACCTCTTTAAATAGTTTTGCCAAGCAAGTCTTGGTATATAAACTCCCTGAGATTGTGCATCTCCAAAAATGTCTTTAATCTTCCTTCACCTTAAAATTTAGTCAAGTGACAATAAGTGGGCAGTGATCACTACTGGAGTGAACTCTATTTTGACTCTGAAGGTTATTCATTCCCTTTTGGAATGCTCAGACTTGGCCTGTGATCTTCCTTCATTGTAGGTTCACAGTCGCTCCACTAAAGGGGACTGTTTTTTTGTTCTACAGGGGCATGTACTCTCACTAATGAGCACTTTCTCTGACAGGGCTCAGCTTCCAGAGCAGAAAGAGCAGGTTAAGGTCCTCCTGGAGGTGTATAGGACAGAATTGTCTGTTCCAGCTCATCTTCTGGTGCCTATTCTTGGGTGTGGTGCAATAGCCAGGCCAACTTCCCAAACAAACCTTAATAAATAAAAGATACAAGGCCAGCAGATGGTGTAGTGGTTATATCACTAGACTCCACATGGCCGACCAGATTCAAGTCTTGCACCCAGTGGCTTGAAAATCAGGTCAGGCATGTGTGCGTGTGTGCCCAAGATCCCAGGAGGAGAATGGAAGAGAAGGGATTTAGGTGTGCCCATCTCCCCCAGATGATTTTTCCCTTTCCCTCTCACTGTCTCTCTCTCTCTCCAGCAAGTGCTCGCACCCTATGGCAAAAGTCTCTAAAAAAAGATGCATTTGAGAAAGCCAATATCATTAAACAACAAAATAATAAGGGATTATTACATAAATTTGATAGGGAAATTAAATACTGGAAAATATGTAAGTATTTATACTGCTATGGAATGGAAAATAGAGAATCCGGGAACAGACACACACATAGAGTTTACTTAATTTATGATAAAGTGGTGAAACAGTATAGTTGGGAAATAAAAATGCTGGTTCAGCTGGGTATTCATTTCAGAAAATGAATTCTTTACCCCATCTCAGAATACACACTGGGGTAATGATGTAGTCTAAAGCAGTCGTTTGTCATTATAAAACTAGAGACAGAAGTGAGACACACTTACCCAGGGAGTAAGAGTGGGAAGGAGAGATTCTGATGTGGCATCATTCATGCTAGTGGATGGTTTAGGAAATGCTTAGAAAAACTTTTACGTGGTCCAGCAGGTGGCATAGTGGTTAAGGGCCCATATGATTGACTGCAGTGAGTCCCAGACCCAGCAACTTGAAACTCATGCTGGGTGTGTGTACATGCATGCCCAAAACCCCAGGAGGAGAATGGAGGAAAAGGGAATGTGGCATGGCCATACCTCTAGGGGATGATATCTTGGTTTCTCTCTGTCTCTCTCTCTGTCTTTCTGGTCAGTGTATGTGACCTCTAGCAGAAATCTCTCAAAAAAGAGAAAGAAAAAGAAAGAAAGAAGGAAAGAAGGAAAGAAAGAAAGAAAGAAAGAAAGAAAGAAAGAAAGGAAGGAAGGAAGGAAGGAAGGAAGGAAAGAAGGAAGAAAGAAAGAAAGAGAAAGAGAAAGAAAAAGTTTTACAAAGACAAACAAACAAACAAACAAAAAAACACTTAATTTCTCCATTGACTCCATAAACTCTGAAAGAATCTCTTGTCCGTGTCCTAATCCCATGATTCTTTTCTTGCCTTTTTGTCTTCTGTGTTGTTTTTTGTATAAACTTGACTTGTTATGGGATACCCAGATAGTTTGTTTCCTGAAAAGATTAACATTTGAATCGGTAGACTGGGTAAAGGTCTGCCCTCACCCATGTGGGTGGGCATCATTCAATCCATTAAGGGCCCAGATTGAACTTCTGGAGCTGGCACATCTATCTTCTGTTGGCCTTGTACATCAATTGGAGCTCCTGGTTCTTGGGCCTTTACATGCTGGAACTTAAATCAGCAGTGCTTACTCTGGTTCTCAGGTCTTTGACCTTGGACCTTGTCAATTACATTACCAGCTTTCCTGGCTCTTGGTTTGCAGTCAGCTTATCATGGGACTTATCAGCACATCATCATTCTGTAAGGCAAGTCCCATAATGAAATCTTGCTTCTCTATCTATCTAGTTCCTATTGGGTCTTTCTCTCTCTCTCTCTCTCTTTTCTTTTTCAGTTTTGTGTTAGGTCATGTATGCTCACCAGTGAGAGAGAAATCACCCCCCAGAAGGGATGGCCATGCCACAATCCCTTCTCTTCCATTCTGCTCTTGGGATTTGGGGCACACACGCACCCCTGCCTGGCATGTTTTTCAAGTTGCTGGAACTAGGACTCAAACCATGGTCAGCCATGTGAGATCCAGTTGCCTTAACCTCCATGCCACCTGCTGGCCTATGTTGGTTCTTTTTATCTGGAGAATTCTACATTTTCTATGTATCACTAAACCATTAAACTACAGTCTCCAAGACTATAAAAAAGATGTTTTTGTAGTTGCCTAGAATTTGTGTTTTAAATAGTTAGGAACTATACAATTTACTTGTTAAAGGACATATACAGACACCAGAGTGAGGGCTGTCTTTCTTACAGCAAAATGTAATGTCTCTCCAAGATGCCATTACCATACCATAATAGTTTTCATTTGAAAATATTCAGTAATACCTAAATTGTTATTCTTGTTGTACCTGCATATAAGCCATAAGAATCCCAAGGATTTCATTTTATTTTAAAATTGCTTTAAAAGACACAGAAAGGGGGACAGAGAGACAATACTCCAAGGGTCTTGATGCTGCAATTCACCCCAGCTTCAGCCAGCCCTGGATCATGGGCATATGCATGCCTGCGTACTGAGGAAGGTCTCCAGACATGAACCTGGAACCTTCCCATGTGAGCCTCACAGAGTGCCATGTTTTACTGCTGTGCCACTGTCCAAACCCAAGGATTTATGTATTTATTTATTTATTTATTTTTTATTTTTGGAGAGGTTTTTCGCTATAGGGCGCATGCGCTCGCCAGACAGAGGAGAGACATAGAGACAGAAAGTGAGAAATCACCCCCCAGGGGGGATGGTCACGCCGCAATCCCTTCTCCTCCATTCTCCTCTCGGGATCTTGGGCATGCACGCACACGTGCCCAGCATGAGTTTTAAGCCACCAGGTCCAGGACGTGAACCGCGGTCGACTACGTGGGAGTCCAGCGACATAGCCATTACGCTAACTGCTGGTTCCCCAAACCTAAGGATTTATTTTTAATAATAAATCCTGACGTGATAACTTGTAAACTTCACATTTATTTGAAAAGGAAATTTAAAAAATTAAGAAACCGAGAAAATATATTTGAAGTTATTACACTTCAGATAATATCCTCAATGAATGAATGATATAAAAATAGATCAGGAAGTCTTAGATACAAAAGAAAAATGTACAATGTTATATAAGCAGACAGCTGAGAGAAAATTTATTAAAGAATGATGAAGGCATATAACTTGGTGGGTAAGGCAGCAGGATGTCACAGAGCTGACCTTGTGATCCTAGTCCTGGACCCCTTGGCTTGAGAAACATACTGGACTTGTATACCTGCATGCCCAAAATTCTGAAAGGAGGGAGGAATGGAGGAAAAGGAATTGCAGCACTACCATTCCCATGGGAGTGCTGTCTCTTCTTGTCTCTCTGACAAGTGTACACACCATTTGGCCAAATAAATAAATAAATGACATATAAGTAGCAATATAAGAAATGCAAATGAAAGTGACTAGAAGTATGATTTTTTCCCCCGCAAGTACAACTGTTATTTATCGATAACCATTGCTGTGGCAGGGCCGAGAAATGGGTACACTCGTATAGTATCTGAAGAACTGTCAATTTGTAGAGCTTTATGAGAAAACAATTTTGCCTAAGTCTAGCAGGAGTCTTAAAAATTGTTCTAATTCATAGGACAAAAGAAATTTCCACAAGTCCATAATGATATAAATAAAGAATTGAATGAATAAATAAGTCGACTAGATGGGACAAGTTCCTTTAATAGTAGAGCTCCACTTCATGTACAAGGAAGAACAGTCAGCGAAAACCATCATTTGAGGGACTAGTAGTTAGCGTAATGGCTATGTTGCTGGACTCCCATGTAGTCGACTACGGTTCGAGTCCCGGACCAGGTGGCCTAAACTCACGCTGGGCACGTGTGCATGTGTGCCCAAGATCCTGAGACGAGCATGGCGG